AAGGATCTTCATTCCACTTCTTATTTAAACCCCTTGCCACCTTCCACTACTTTCCCCCTTTCCTCCTATCTCCTTTTACCCCGAGATTGTTGTCTCCTACATCTCTCTTCAATATCTCTACTTCACTCAATCTCCTCTTCTTTGTTCTGATCTCCTTCTTCCTCTTCTGTAATCTTTCTTTCAACACATTCAAATCTTCCAACCTACAGCCCAATTTCTCTATAAATTCAGCTAGCAAGTCTTCTCTCATCGAGTCCTCCACCCCTACCCTTCCTACAGAAACCCCTTCATCTCTGCTCATCTTCCCGTTCTTCCTCTCCCCTGGTCCCACCTTTGTTCTTTCCACTCCATCCAACCTCCCTCTCCTATTACTTCCCTCCTTCCCTGTTCCTTTCCCTCCAACTCTACCYTCAAACCTTTCCCTCCTCTCCACTAGCCCCTYCCCTCTCCCTTCCTCCCCTTCCCTCCTCCAAATCAATTTTCCTTCCACTTCCTTAAAAAACACTTTTTCAATGATTTTCCACACTTTTTCACTCCTAAACCTTCCTTCCCTCACCTTCCCACTTTCCTTCATCCCCTTCTCCCCCTGTTCGGAGAGCCCGCTTTCTAGCACGACTGCATATTCATGGGCTACAGGACATGGAACAGAAACGGAATCTGGAACCAAAGACACAGGAGACACGTTAGTAGCACAAACTGAATTCATTGGGTTACCTGGGATTGGTGGATAGGCTAAAAAAGGATTGCTCCTGGCCTCCCTCTCAAGTTCTAGAGGTTGGTAAACATCTGTCTCCCTTAGTTGGTTGGGAAGTACTTTTGTCCTTTGGTCAACCTGGTGATCTTTCCCCTCTACCTCTGATTCGCCCCTAGATGGTGTGTTCCTGCTCAGCTTCCTGTTCTCCTGGTTTACCCCTTCTGATAATCCTTGCACACTCTGAAATCTTGGAAATGAGTTGACCCGATTGCAACCTACACCCTTAAATAGGCTAGCAATACTCCACCCATCCACGGTTACCACCAGCACAACTACCTTCGTCGTTTACACTGCCCACGTTGGTACCATCAGCAGAAAGGTCCTCCGCTTCTTCATCTCCTTCACTGCACTGCACCCA